AAATACTAAAATACTAAATAAATACTAAAATAAAGTATTTCATATTACTATTCCCACCAGGAGCACCAAGAAGAGTCCTAATTCTTACATGGGCATCTCATTCTTTGTGCTTATTTGCTTCTTTTCCTGAAGAAAAATTATCATCTATAATTGGTCTGTAAGAACCTAAAACTAATCTCAATACCTTACATGGAAAGCTGCTCAATGGGAGTCTCCCCCTGCTCCTATTTTAAACACTGGGTTTGAAATTACACAAAGATTAAAAATTGCATCCCCTTTTCTTGTTATTTGGTTTTTCATGACCAAAATCTTGTCTAGGCTTCTTTTGACCTAAAAGTCATAGATTAAACAACTAATAGGTAAAATCAGCTTAGATGCACTGCATCTACCCTGCTAATTGACCAAGGTCTGGATTAGAGATTGAGAATGCAATGGTCCCTTGTTATCCTCTCACAGCAGTTGGCTTTAAAGCCAGATTACCTGATGTGTATCTCCAGGAACAGCATTGATACCAATCCATTATAAGGTTTATTTATGTTTCCCTGGGAGATTCAGGTAGGGCTGTTAAGGAAATAGAGTTGAGAAGCATTATGATTCCAAATATGATTTTGGAATTAGTAATTGAAACTAAATAATAGCAATTTATACAAAAGAATTATTTAATTTTACAAGCATAACAAAAATAGTAGAAAATCTCTTTAGGCAAAGGGAGAATTCACTTGACTGCAGAAGAAAGGACAGAACAGACTGTACAAGTTCCCCAGAAAAACTCTGCTGCCAAGGAAAAGCTGCAAACTGTTTTTGACACCTCATAACACTTCCCTCATACCTCTACTTTTTACAACAAATGATTTTTCCAGTCTCTGGAGACTGGAATATTGAACACTGGAATATTTGCACGGCAATCTTTCTTTCCCAAACCAGAAACCTGATGTGTGATTATTCCATAATTTCACAAGGCAGAGAGAGTTCTGCAATGCATTTATGGAAATAATAAAATCCTAATAAATAAAAAATAATAAATTTTATAATAATAATATAATGTCTATATTATATATAATATATAAATAATATCTAATGTATAATATATAATTTTATATATAATTATATATATTATTTTAATAATAATAAGTAATAAATGCATTTATGGAAATAATAAATTCCTAATAAAAAAATCCCCTTTTAATGCTTGTTGGGGAAAGCCACAGCACACACTGGCCATGAGTACTGAGAACTTCTTGTGAACACGTGTGCACAAAGAGACTCATCCTGCTGATGAAAGAGAGAGATTGAACTTGTTCATGGCCTGAAAACCAGCTCGTGTTAGCTCAACATTTCATTTCTTCATGAAGACACTGAACTTTTCTTTTTTTTAAACTACTGAAAACATTCCTTCATTCCCATGTAGAAGCTTCAATTCAATGGAATTTACATAAATGGGTAAACTTGTTCCCTGCTGTAGTGTGAAATCCAGCCAAATCATCCCTACTCTTCAACCCTCAATTTTTAATTTTTTTTCTTTGTGTCAATGAAGAGCAAGTAATCCTACAATCTGTAGAGAGGTTTTGCAAGTGTATTTTCACTAGTATCCACATTTTGTATGAACACTTGCTAGCTCTGTCAATTTTTAAGATAAAATCTGAGAGATAAAATGTAAAAAAATGATGTAAATATCTATCTATAAAATATATTCATGCCCAGCCTCCCAATATTCTGTTTAAATTGATATGCAATTTCCACCTCTGTTTCTTTTTACTTTGAAAAGAAGAGCATGAAGTTCATCCTTTTCTAAAGTTCAGTATATCCATGTGTTAACACAGGTAATTCCCAATGGACCTGAGATTTTATTAGCAGCTGTTTAAATACTTACTCAACAAACTGCATTTAACTTGCTGAAGAGCTCTCTATCTGGTGATTGGATTTTTGTCTCTCAGTCACTCTATTAATTGCAGGAAATTACTGCAGTTATGAAGATTAATGAAAAAAGAGGGTTAGAAACTTCCTGGCATCAGACATGTATGGCTGTGTATCACATCAAGCCTTAGAAATTATTTGACAAGGAGAGATAATTAAAGTTAACGTGCATAGGACATGAGAGGGCTGCTTGGGAAGGGTAGAAAAATCACACATTTGCCAGTAACATGGACAAAATTACCTTCCAAACCACATTTGTTAATACCACTGCAGAGAGAAGATGGAATACTTCTCAACATTTACGAAATACTGTGGGAAAAAACATCACTCACAGAAACCTGAAGGCTGTTTTCATATGTAGAAATTCAGCAAAATGCAAATACTAACTTTGTGTCCCATGGTTTTTAAGGCACATTGATGGTATTTTTCTAAGTACAAATATTAAAAGTTACAAAGATACGAAACTAATAGGACACCAAATGAAACAGGAAAGGATATATTTTTTGTTATTTCAACCTTGTTTTTTTGTCTCTTTTGCTACAATTAACATTATATTCTTTTTAAATATAGATTCTAAACTAAACCCAAGCTAAATTTTAAATACACAAGATTACATTGATGTGGATATTGTTAGCCAATTGGTAAAAGATACTGGAAAAGTGATCATAAAATCAATAATATAAAAAGAAAATTCACTTCAGGGTTTGAAAATTCCTCCCTAAAATTTCTAAAAGTTTTGTTTCACCACTTATTTATCTGTTCTTTTTTTCATAAATAACATGCTTGGTAAAGAGGTACCTTGTTTTATCCTAGGAAGGAAGATGGGAAGAATTTAGCAGCAGAAACTACATTCTAGGATTATCGCACTGCTAAGTTGGAGAAACCAGCTCACAATAAAATTACATAAGCTTTATTCTGCTCTGTAAAGATACAATTTTCAAAAATGTGCACATGAAGTTCTTGAAAGGACTTTTTCAGTGACAGAAACAAGAGGTCACAGGATTCCATTGGAGGCACAGTCACACAATCCCTTCATAGGTAGAATTCCAGGGTATGATGGATGCATCTTTGTCTCTCTGTTTTGAGCTTCATTACAAAGTCAGGAAGAGACACTGAACCCTCCAGTGAGTTTATGACTGATTTGTTTCATTTGGGCAGATTTGTGTCTCAGAAAAGAAATTATGCTAACTTCTCGGTTGGATAGAATTGCTGCAAAAATCAGATAAATGGAAATAACTTGCATTCATTTTCATTCTGGTTTCATTCAAATCTGAAATTCTGTGAAAAAAATTCATACTGATGAGGTGCTTTATAATATATAAATAATCATACAGTACAAAACTAAGAGCCCCATTATTAACCCACAAAGCCTTATTTACCTAAATTATCTCACCAAGACACCCTTGTCCTGCTAACCAGCCGGTCCTTTGGAGATCCTGAACCCCTGCCACAAATGTTTTTCACTGGTTTAACATGAATAAAAATCTATTGATTCCATCATCCCATTGAGCTGCTGCCACTGAACTGAACAACCTGTTGTAGGGGCTGGATTCTCTGGAAACTGCAGGAGCTGCAGGTACAGTTAATCAGGATTGCTGGTGAATTTGAAAACTTTTGTCTTACTTAATTGCTTTATGCCTCTATGGGTATCTTGAAAACAGAATTTAGGAGATGAGCAAATAGCTTACAATGGTGTTACAATTTACAGCACGTGTAGAAAACTTGCTCAGTTTCAGATCTCTGTGGCTGTGATTCAGACATTAAATTACTTCCAGTCAAAATCAAACACTGGGTGCTCAGAAAAGCCTTTCAGTCTAAGCCAAGTGACTAAAGCATTTCAAACTGTGTGATGACCATCTGGAAACACAGGCAAAAGCAACTCAAACTTATTCAACATTGTCCTAAAAATAAGGTTTGAAGTTAAACTCAAGGTATCAGTGGGCTGGATTTTCAAGCTCCTTTACTTTCATGCTCAAACTGAAACTGTAATAAGTTTCCCTTCTCAACAGAAATGCTCTACTTAACTCATTCAAACAAGGCATGAAACACTATCATAAACTAATAATTATGGCAAAAATCAAGGCTAAATACTTGTAAAACTGTGGCCTACAATAAAGTTCTCTGTGCTACTTGATTTCCCTCTTCAGTGCCTTTTGGGCACCACCATCCTGACACCTCCTCAGGGCTAAACCAGACGATTTTTACAAATTCCACTCAGACCCACAAACTTCAAAACAAAACAAGGACATCCAATGCAAATTCTAAAATCAGCTGTCAAAAAGCTTTGCAAAATGATAAGCTATGAAGAAAGTTGCTTTATTCTGTGAGCAGATATTCCCAATCAGGAGCAGATCAGCTTATTATACTCTACCAGTAATGTTCTGCCTGTTTTGTACAGCTAGTATCGTTCCTGGAAATACTTATGAGAGTTTTATGGATATCTGTTGCTTTCTTTTTCATCCTGCAATAAAGATCTGTGTGCAGGTCATGTTTTACTGCTTCAGGGATATCTGTTTTCTTATTGATTGAAAATTAAAATGGTAATTTATGCTTCCATACTGGACCACTGCAATGTTTTATTTCATTGATTTTGTGGCAGTTCTTTGCATGCATTTAACAGCTTATGTGAAACCCTGACAGCAAGGTCATTTCAAACAAACCATTCCCAATTCTGCTCCCTTCAGCTCCCCACAACACCAAATCATTAGCTTCTAATTAAATTTTATACATTTGGGGGTTTTATAATCTTTAAAGGCTCTTAAATATCAAGTCAAAATTTTTCTTTGTCCTCTGGTGAGTGCCCTGCTTCCCTCATACACCCAAGCCCAGCAAAGCTTTTCTTTAAAGGATTTCCCCATTGATTGAGTGATATTTTTTTCCCTTCTAAGCTTTTAGCTGCTGTTAACCTTGTATGTCAGGCCAACAATTTGTTACAATTAGGCTGACAAACTTTCGGCTTTTAACTTCACTCTCAGAGCTCATTTATTTGATCTAATGTAAGCTTAATTACCTGAGTTGCTAATTCTGTTAAAAAAAAAAACAACTAAAAAACCCACAACACCAGCCCTGAAATATTGTACCTGCCATGAAAAATCTTCCAGAAGTACACTGTGATAGCCTGATAATTGACAAGGCTTTGATTCTTCTGAGCTGTACTGATTTTGGACTCACAGGACCAAGATTAAATTATTATCATTCCAATAGCACAGAGGCTTGGACAAAACCACCTAGGAAAATAAAAGCATGAGTGTGGATAGTAAATGGCACGTGTGGAGTGAGCACATGGAGTTGTTTGCAGGAGGTTCACCTAAGTCAGGAGGAGCTTCTCTCAGCCCCTGTGCTCAGAAAGCAGCTGTGTGACACATTAATGCACACACACACACACAGACACTGCACTTTGCCAGCAATCCTTCCCTGGATGTGTTTTAGCATTTTTCCTATTGCTAAGAAAAAGTATAATATTAAAAGATTTGCCATATGCATAAAGTGAACTGCTGGAAAAGCTAATCTTTCCTCATGTTAAGACATTCAGTAATTACTGAGATTATGTCACTTTGCTGTAGCATCTGGTGTCCGAAATTTAGGAATTACTTCTCACATAAGGAGCTCTGGAAAGGGAAAGTGTGATAAAGAGTAATTGGATCACTTTTGGATGGCTGTAGAGCTAATAGATGAAATTTTCTCCAACACATGAGATCTTGGTTGCTGTTCCACATATGCATTTCAGAAAAGGGAAATGCTCTTACGTGCAATATATTCTAATACATTGCTTTTCATTGGCCATTTATTGTTTATCATTTACTGTTTCTTTATGCTATCTACATAAATGCTAAACCAGCAGAAACTCATTGCTATGTATTGTATCCAATTCCTCCATCTCAAAATACAGCACCCAATCCTTGAAAGCTTGTAAATACTATAGAATTTAACAGCAGATCATGAAAATTGCCGTCCTCGACTCTTTCTGTCTTTGCTGCAGTTTGTAAGTTCCTGGACTTGTAAAAACTTTAATAAATATCATCCATCCCATTGGATCATTCATACTGTGAAGTCCACTCAAGTGAAAATTTTCTCGTGGTTTCAGGAGATCAGGGGACACAATACAGACAAATGTGCTGAATCATTGTTTTGGTTCCTCATTCCTGAAGATAAACTTTCCTTATCTGTTTTGGACTAGGATTTTGTATAGGATTTGTATAGGATTGCTGCTCAGACAGTACATGCTGTTTTAACAGCAATAAAGTAAATATGTTTATTCAGGAGAGCATATCAACAAAGAGATGATATCTTGAGACTTCATTAATGGGAGTCTCAAAAGACAAGAGTCCAAGGAACATCCTGCAAGTGCATTTTCAGCTGGATGGCTCTTTGCAGCTCTGCAGGAGTCTCTGTCCTGTACACAGCAAGCTTCTCTCCAGTGAAATGACTGAAAATAAAAATACTGTTTGCTTTTACTTTAACAATTGCTCTTGTACAAGACGTGGATTTGAGTTTTCTATAAAATATGTCAGTCAATTCTTCTCTCCACAGACTTCCAAGAAAGTCAATACCATAGTTAAATTTAAGACTAATATATTTAACTATATTTTAAATAATTGATATATTTATTGTGTTTACACAACAGCATTTACAGTTTTCTGTTCTATATATGTTCTTCAATTCATGCTTTCAGTTACTGGCTTGAGCCAATATTTATGGGTCATAGTTCTAATTGTTATTTCAAGTCTTTTGCTGAAATGACATCTAAACTAAAGACTTTGTACAGTGATGTGGAATTGTGCATTTGTGTAAAAATCAAGGGCAGTACTTTGAAATTCCTTTGCAGATATAAATCTACGTTAAAACATAGAATCATATGCAATATCTTAAATTAAAGGGAAGAGAAATAGGTGAGGAGATAAGTTCATTAATTCATCAGGATTTGTCACAGAGAATATAAGGAGCTATTATCTTGGTTTAATTACAATAAAACCCAAAAAGGCCATTTGCAAGTAATGAATAGTTGCAGTAGTAATTAGTAAGTGTTGACAGCAGCAGAAAGCAAGTTTTTTATAAATATTGGGTTGTACTGGTTTATGTGCCTGGTTTTATAATAGGCACCAGCACTCAGTAGTTACTGTTTGATCTGTTCATGGCTGCAGAATTCCACCCTCACTGCTGCATCACAACTCCACGTGCGAGGTGAAACTTTCCATGCAGAGAACTGGGCAGTGTGGAATCCTGGTGAACAAAGTACTCATGCAAAGTACAGCAAACCCCAGTGGGGATAATGGAATACAAGTCTGAGGGTGTTGTCAGCCCTACTGACCCAGGACTAGCCAGCAGTGGTGAGCAATACATTCACTGGTCAGCAAAACCATTTCAGATGGATTGATCTCAATTGTAACAAAAAAAACCTGGGAAAAACCCCCTCAGGCTTAAAAGAGGCCATAAGTACGCCATTTCCCTGTTTTTGTTTGTTTGTTCTTAAGATCAGATCCTGAAAGAGACAAATGCAAAGGCAGAAAATTGATTTGGTGTTTGTTTATATGCATAAAAGATGCTTTTTTTTTCCTTGATCGTAGCTAAGACAACGAAATGGCAATCACAAAGGATTCAGTTCCACCGGGAGGTAAAAGAAGATAATACCTGTAAACAGAAGCATCTGTAAAATCTGAAATCAAGAGACAACACAGTCCTCAGTCATGAAGATTTACATCTGACCTTGCTGGTTTGACAGACTGGTTTGTAAGACTAGGAAAAGAGAACTAACAGATAAATGGGAACAGGCTACAAGACCAACTCCCAAAATATTAGTGTCCAAGATAAGACTGCGGGCAAAATTCCAGCGTGTGATACATATACATACAGAATCTGTTCCATTAAAAGCCACTTCTCATTATTTATTTAGCTATTGCTGTGATTAGATAGTATTTAAGACTCTGAACAGGCTCAGATTAATGTAACATCAGAGGAAACTGCAATCACTGCAGCAACCTGCAGTGCAGCATGCACATTCCACCTCCTGTGACAACAGAGACCAGACAGCTCCCCCAGCAGATCTGCACAGCCACCAGCCCTTCATAATCAACATCCAAGGCAAAGACCTACCTCCTAACCATTCATCAGGTCAAACTGCAGATTATAAACTTGGCTATCAAAAAATATATTGGATGGTGACTCCTTATTTTGTCCATCAGACAAAACTGAAATGCTTTTTGGTCATCCATTTTCAACATTATTGTGTTGATTAATTACAAAGTTACTGGAGATGTGTGTTTGAGAGGTAATAATACAAAATATTCTCTTTTATAAGGAAGCTGTTACAGCATAAAAATATTCTAAGCAGACAGAGAAGTCAAGGATAGGTTGAAGTGCATGGAAATCTCTGACTGTGACTGTGTTTTCTTGATCTACAAATTCCCTGAAATCAAGATGTCCCCATGGCAAGTGCAAACTTCTGCCAGAAGGGGTTCAAAGTCTCAGATTTACTGCAGCCTAAATACCAAGGCAGGCAAAAAGGCAAAACAACTGTTTAAAATGAACTTTGACTCTGCATTCAAAGAGGACAGACAGAAAGTGTAAATGTCATCTGGTCAATAATCATTAGAGGTTAAAAGCTGTTGCCTATTTTAGGAGCAGATGACTATTTCTGAAAAGTTCATTTTAAGTCACTGCTAAAAGAAGGAAGCAAAACAGTGAGATTTAATACATGTCACAGATTCTTCTAACAGATATTCCAGGAATGTACCTCTGGATTTTGACAAAAGATCAAGAGTTCTCCAGCACAATGAAACACAGCACAGTGTCAGCTCCAGAAACTCCTTCGAAGAAAATGGATATACTTTCATTTTTTACACTTGTACTCCTTTAAAAAAAGAAATAACAATCAAGTACCTAATTATTATAAAGCGTAATACAGTTCCTACTAGCTACATACAAACTGCCTAATCATTTTAGGACACATAATTGTAAATTTTTATATGACTATTAGACCTCCCTGATATTCCAGCTAAGCATAAATTGAAAGGAGAATAGCAGTCTCATATCCATATTTTTGGATGATAATAAAGATATTTATTGACACTTTTGTGTTAGTGAAATATAATAAAAACTAACAACTATGCTCTAAAGATGATGCTAAAGAAAAATATGTCAAACCCTTATTCCACAAAACCACAAAACACTAATAATGCACTAAAAAGACATGCAAAAGCGTGTCAGTAATTAATATGAAAACTAAATCAGTAAATTATAATACAAGCTTCTAAGTGACTGAGAACCCACTCAAGTCAGTTTTTAAACAGCTCTAGCTGTTTAAAACACTTAGTCTGTAAAGGCCACATTTTACATTTTATTTACAAAGGGGAAAAAAGTTTAATTTATTTTTCACATATTACTTTCCTGTTTACAGCAATGTCAACAGATTAAGGTGGTGAAAACAACTGGTGGGTACTACATCTTGCTGGCTTTTACTACAGGGAATAGCTGCATTTCAAGGCAAGCAATGTTGGAAAAGCTTATCTGGAATTCTGCCCACTTACAGACACTAAAGCTTTCCTGGCTACTCTGCAAACATTTTCTAGTAAAAGGCTGAGATTGTAGTTTTTCTTCTCTACTACATAATTATGAAACTCTGATCCTTTAGGGAACAATGATTCATCAGGCATGAACCCATGTTTTCTTCCAAATGATGTAAGCTCATTCTGTCATGTAATGCTGAAGTTCTCTCTACATCTAAAAACTGTATCCCAGAATTACCATGATAATTCTTTTCAGGTTACACCACCTAATCCCTAAGCAAAAATAAATTATAGCAGTAACAGGATACAATTTAATAGAAGACCCTTAATCATCCCCCTTTGATCACAGTCAATTTTATCCATTTCTGCTTTCCCCTGTAATGCTTTTGAACTACTGGGGCCTCCCAGTAACTATACACAGAGAAAAAAAATTGCAAGGTATTTGTAATTATGGAAAGGGGACAAAAAGTGAAAAGTGTTCACAGGGAAAAAATAAATAAATGAATAAATGAATAAATAAACAAACAAATAAATAAATAAATGCTTAGCTAAAGAAACAATCCCTCAAAGTTTCCAGAAGAAAATCCAAGGTTTTCTAGCTTTTGATTAAACCACCACAATAAAATACTTTCTATATAATAATATAATTATATAATATATATAATTATAATATATTATTGTAATTATTATATAACTATAATATATATAAGAATATAATGTATAGA